GTACTTGTGCTTAGAAGATAAAAGATCTCAAATTATTTTGTTCATTTTAGTTTCACATATTCTTCAAGGTTATCAGTTATTCTGGCTATTAGAGAAACGGGTGGGAGAAGGAAGGTTTTATGCAATCTTAATTTTTAAAACATTAAGTACTGGTACCTATTATTTTCTAAATACTTTCAAGGGCCTTTTCCTAGAATCAGGTAAATGAGAGCAGGCAAGTGACCTACTTACAGCAAAAATTGCTCTGGGTTATAAAGGATGGGAAGCCAAGTGCATCCTGAAAACCACAGCATCTGGTCTTGTTTTATGCATCATCTATCAATCTGTTGTTACAGGAATTGAGAATTAACATTTCAACTATTGTTTCTTCTATTTTAACTAATGCATTTATATCTTTGTTATTCTTACCCAATCCTTCCCACCTCCTCCCCATTTAAGAAACCATAGGCAGGGGCATTATGAAGGTGCCAGTTGAATCCTAGGGAGATCACTCTTTCATCTATGCCTTAAAACTTCTGCTAATGAGGCTATATAGTAGGGTTAGATATCTGAAGCAATTCTGGTTTTGCTCAATCCCGATTTTTCACAGATAGTATCATTTGAACAGTACTGTATTGAAGTTAAATAAAATATTGTGGATTGTAAATTTCCAAGTTCTAGAAAACATTTTGTGGTAGAAGTTTTTAAAAAGTACACTTGGCAATGCTGTTTAAGAAAAAGGTTATGTAGAAATGCAGATTGTGGATTAGTACTACCCTGATAGCACAAGAAAATTATATATAACTTCTTTTTATAGATACTCATTTAAAATTATGTGTAAAGTTTAAAAACATAAAAGTATGGAAGGTAGATTTATAGCAATATGTTCTTTGAACTTTGCTGTTGTCTTTTTTTTTTCTAGTTCTCTCCTTTTTACAGAATGGAGTTATCAATTCATCTTTCTACTACTTTCAATCTTTTGAAATTTTAAATTTCCATTATTTTTTCCTTGATTCTATCTTATTTCTTATTATTATTTTTTAGTTTAGCTTTTTTTAATTTTTAAAACAAGTTTATGGGTACACAGTAGGTGTGTGTATCTATGGGGTACATGATATATGTTGATACAGGCATACAATGCGTTGTAATCACATCAGAGTAAATGAGGTATCCATTACCTCAAACATTTATCATTTCTTTGTTACAAACATTCCAATTATACCCTTTTAGTTATTTAAAAATGCACACTAAATTATTGTTGACTATAGTCATCCTGCTGTCATCAAATACTAGATCTTATTTGTTCCATCTAACTATATTTTTGTACCCATTACCATTCTCACTTCCCTCCTACCCCCACCACTATTCTTCCCAGCCCCCGATAACCATCATTCTACCCTCTATCTCCATGAGTTCAACTTTTTTAATTTTTAGCTCCCACAAATGAGTGAGAACATGCAAAGTTTGTCTTTCTGTGCCTGGCTTATTTCACTTAATATAATCTCCTACAGTTCTGTCCATGTTGTTGCAAATGACAGGATCTCATTTTTTAAAATGGCTGAATAGTTACTCCATTGTGTTCTATATTATTCTGTCTATTGTAGCTTCAAGTACAGCTTCAGGTATAGCTTCATATTCTTGCTTTACTTTTCTTTCTCCACCCATTCTACTTCATTTACCTTATCAAAATAATGGTTCATATGATTCAGAAGACATGATTTAAAAACTTAAAAAATAACAATTGAAATTATCCTTTTATGATATTTTTAAAAGAACCAAGGTAACCAAGTGACTTATACTGGCATAATTACTGCTACAAAATTTTATGTATTTGTTGAAGTTCTATCCTTTTTAAATCACTGTCAAGTGAATTACTTCTAATGAGCAATGAATAGAGTCAGGTTTACTGTGTTTACTTATTCAAAGATTTCAGATTTGTTTTTCCTTCCAAAGGGGTTCTATCCTGAATCTCGTCATGAGGCTTCCTTGCCTTGATTTCTTGATGTATTCCAGTTGGGTTAAAGGTTCAGATGACCAGATAGGCCTTTTAGGTTGAGGTGATGGAGATTTTTGCAAAAATACATCTACAGTCTTCATTCACTAGGGCAGAGTTTCTCAAAATATGTTCTAAAACTACCTATATCCCAATCAGCTCAGATGTTTGTTTACTGATTTACTGATAGTCTTAAACAATAGAAATGTATTTCTCCCAGTTCTGGAGGCTGGGATATCCAATATACTGGCATAAGCTGTGTCTGGTGAGGGTACCCTTCCTGGCTTGCAGACAGACACCTTCTTGCATCCTCACATGGCATAGAGCCCAGATGCTTATATTAAAATGCAGATTTCTAGGTCAAAACCTAGAGCAGTTGAATGGGAGTCTCTGAAGACTGGGAGCCAGAAATCTGCATTTTGTCAAGTTGTACAAATTAATCCATATACAATGAAATTTGAGAACACCTAATTTTATTTTATTTATTTTTATTTATTTATTTACTTTTTGAGATGGAATCTCACTCTGTTGCCCAGGCTGGAGTGCAGTGGCATGATCTCAGCTCACTGCAACCTCTGCCTCCCAGGTTCAAGAGATTCTCCTGCCTTAGCCTCCCAAGTAATTGGAATTACAGGCACCTGCCAACACACCCAGCTAATTTTTGTATTTTTTTTTCAGTAGAAACAAGGTTTCATCATGTTGGCCAGGCTGGTCTTGAACTCCTGACCTCAGGTGATTCACCCACCTCGGCCTCCCAAAGTGCTGGGATTACAGGTGTGAGCCATTGAGCCCAGCCGAGAATACCTAATCTAAGGAATTATTTCTTCCCACCAAGTATCTGGTGCATTAACTTTGGTTGCAGAGCAAACTGGCTACACTCCATTTAATAACAAAAATGGAAAATTAAGTACAATTTTATGGCAGGGAAGAACTGCCATAACTATTTTAAGAGGTATTGATAAAGAAAACACACACACACACAAAACCCAAAAACTTTCTACAATAAAGTAATAATTGTTTTTAATATCTTGATTCTAACAAAGAGCAAAGGCCTAGAAAGTCTACAATCTGCTCTAATTTCCTGATTAATATTATATATAATGAATTATTTATTGAGCCCCTACTGTGGGCCAAATATGGTATTTGTGTTGCCAGGGATTATATAAAGCTATCCCGGTATGAAAAGCATATGTTCACTCTGCTCTATTCTGGAAGAACCTCATTGATTTGATGATTGCTGAAAATGAATGTACTTCATGTCTTAGGCCCAGACATGGAAGCTTTCTTAAGGATTCGCTAAATGAAAATATTAGGTCCAAAACACACAGGTGTAGGCATTTGGTTTACAGCTGAACCACTGGAAAGGGAGTGAGTGAGGTGTAGCACTTTTCGAGCTTGTGGACTCTTTACTGTCAGCCTTGATGACTTTATTCAAGAGTTTCCTTTCCTGCACAATCATCCCTCAGATATTAGGCAGATGAATTGAAACTAAATGTAACCATATTGAGAACTCCATTTCATTGTAGAATTCATTTAGGATGTCTTTAGTAGAGTGACTCATGATTTGCCTGAGACTTTCTCAGCCAGTCTTATATCCCAGCAAACCTTTTAGTCTCATGCAAACTGAAACTGGGTAGGCTGGTCACCCTGGTCCTTAGAGGAGGGCGGGTGAGGCTCTTAGTTGAACCAATTTCACTCAGCAAATGAATGAAAATCCATTACCACCTTGAATTTCTCAGCTCATTTTCCTTACCAGTGGGTATAATTACCCTATTGGGGCACAAAACCTGTTTCTTTCCTTTAGTGGCCATTCCCTTTTAGTCCTGTCAAACCATGTGCCCATGAGCCTCCCAAGCAATGATTCAACTTGGGATCATCCAACGACCCAGTGGAGAGTCTCTTGAAAGTCTGCCGAGCACTGATAGCCTCTGTTTTTGTTTTTGTTTTTTTTTCATTGTTGTTGTTTGTTTTTAATGAACATTGTCCTGGTCTCATAATCTTCCTGTTATTCTCAAAGGTCTATCTCTCTAAATAATTAGTCTAGCAATCCCAAACCTAGCTTCACATCAATTTTTTTTTAAATTAGGAACGTAGGCATGCACATACATAAAAGCCTTAAATACTAAAAAGGCATGGGTATAAAACATGAACCATTTACAGTATTAAATTCCATTCTGATTCCTGTCCATGAACTTAATCACAGTTTTCAACATTCATGCATCCCTTTCATCCCTTCCTTTAAAGCCTTGTGATTTTGGCATTTCATGGTCTTACTTTCAACTAGATTTTAAAGTTTAGCTCGTATTAAATTACCATCTCAAAGAGAAAATGTAAAGTACAAGGTTTGAATTAGGCAGATCTGTGTCTCAATGAAATTGTTGCCTTTATTTCCTAAGTATATGAACTTAGAAAAGTTTCTCTAAGCTTTAAAATTTGCTCATTAGTAAAAACGGAGAAAATAATAGCTATTTTAGAGGATTTTGGGGTATTTAGGTTATGCATATAAAGCACATGGCAGCATATTGCCCCACCCCAGCAGACATTCACTAGGTATTATCTTCACCACATTATTACAAGTTTGTAACTAGTAACATTCGTTAACAATCAGGCTGCAAAACTGTTATTATTATTGAGACAGGGGCTTGCTCTGACCCCCAGGCTGGAGTGGAGTGGCTTGATCACTGCAGCCTTGATCTCCCGGGCTCAAGCGATTCTCCTACCTCAGCCTCCCAAATAGCTGGGACTACAGACATGCGCCACCAAATCCAGCTAATTTTTAGGTTTTTGTTTGTTTGTTTGTTTTTTGTAGTGACGAATTCTCATTATGTTGTCCAGGCTGGTCTAGAATTCCTGACCTCAAGTGATCCTCTCGCCTCGGCCTCCCAAAGTGTTGGGATTACAGGCGTGAGCCACTGCGCTGGCCAAGTTGCAGAATTGTTTAGCCATCAAAGATGATGCCTCAAGTAGAAAGGCACAAACTGCCTTCCTGAGGAACACAGGGAGAACTCTCATTACATCATAGTCTCACCGACTCTATCTGAAGGAAGTGATGCTTCTTATATCTTCGGAGTGTCTAACATCATCTGGCCCCCTGGCAGTCTGTGTATTCAGGAGGTTCTGGCTTTCAGGTTTGCTCCCTTGGGACCTCTTACGTCACGTCGCTCGTTCTGGAAAGGGAAACGGGTAAAAGAAAAAGGGAAATCACCAAAATGCAAAATCTGTTGCCAGTTGCCCTATTCCGTCCCAACTACTGGGCCTGCTGGCGTGGGCTGCTAAATCTTTTCGCGGAAAGATTTGTCAGGCGCCACCCTCAGGTGTTTGTCAGCACAGAGACGGGGGGGGAGGGCGAGCTCACCCTAGAATTGAAAGGCAGGTGGTGAGGGATGAGGGGTGAGGTGTGGGAGGTGGCCATGAGCTTCTGCGTTTTGGCTAAAGTACAGACATAAAGCCGCGGCGTGAGGGTTTGCAGAGTGGTGGGAAGGAGAGAATGTCTTTGCTGGGTACGCAGAGCATTTCTGCACTCTCAAGAAGGCTGCCCGATTTGTCAGGGTTGCGCCCGGAGCCCGCGAGAAGGGCAGGGACTTTCTGTGATAAGCGCCTTCCCAAATGTGGTGTCTGTTACACTCAGAGCCTCAGCGAGTGCTGCTGGCAGACACGCCGGCTTCGCAGAAAGTCTCCGTCCGGCAGGTAGCAGGTTAAGCAAGCATCGGGTGGACGAATTTGCTCTCGCTCACCATTTCTAACCCTGGGAGCACACCGCATTCTCGCCGGCGACCGCGGGTCGCGCATGCTCCTTGCGAGCGAGTGGGTCGGGGCTCCCGCCGGAAGCGTTCTCTCCCAGGCTGCATTTCCTTCCTGTGCGAGGCCGGCTGAGGGCATTTGCTCCCGCTGTTTCTGCTCCTGGGTGAGTAGCGGGTTCCCGTGGGGCCTCATGGGATGGGTGTTGTATCCTGCTGAGGTCCTTTAAGGACCGTCTCGAACCTGGGAACCCCCGGAGGAAAGGTCACCCCGGTCTTCTGCCACGCCTCACCTCAGTGCCGCCCCCAAGCGCCCCGCAGCCCTTAGTCTCGAGAGGATTAACCTCCAAGGGCGTCCCGGGCCTCGCCTTGGCCTCCGGCCCGGCCTGAGTCCTTAGGGTCTGCTTAGCTCCTCCCCAAACTCGTGCCATTCCCGAGGGAATCTTTGTCGGCTTCCTGGTCACTGTGGGGGTTTGGGGTCGTCCCGGAAGACTTCAGAACCAGGCGAACCTAGACGAAGGCGGCTAGAATGAACCAGCTCTGATTGTCGCACGGGCGACAATCACCTTGTGCAGACTCGAAGGTGCTTCTTCAGGGCCGGGCACGCTTTCGCAGAAGATGGTGATGTTAATAATAACCTGCTCTCTTTGTGGATATTGGCAGGCCTTCATTGTCATAGGCTGTATCCATAGGGCCTTTATGTCTGCAAAACCGGGACTTTTGAGTTTGAGAATCCATTTGTGAAATACTGCAATGAATTAGGAGAGAAATGCTACAGTGAATGCTATGCTATGAATGCTGTACATGTAAATAAATTGCTCATAGATGAGGTAGTACGATTTCATAGTTTTCCACTCGGAAATGGAGAACTTAAAATGAAACGACCTGATACCATATTTGCCTAGCAAATAACTCTAGGTTATAGTGTTTTAGGATGTTTCTTAGTTGCTTACAGCATTGTCATCATATATGTACATATTTGTGTATTCATTTTGTTGAACTTTATACAGGATTGAAATACACTCTCTGCTGTTGTATGCACATGCAGCTTTTATTGTATGTTCGCTCTAATGCTATTGTTGCTGTAACAGCCTTACATTGCAGGTATATCAATACCAAATGAATGGTACATGAGTGTACAATAAAGTATATAGTTACAGTCTACAAAACAAGTTTCATTTTCATTGAAGGATTTTGAAGTAATTTAAAAAGATGGACTACTGTTTTACAAGTGGCCTTAGTAGACCTAGGTCTTTACTACATTAAAAATTTCAGAATTGGGAAAGATATAAACGGGTTTTGTATCTTGAACTTTTATGGGATTAAAAGTTGTTCCTATCTTGATGACTGGGATGTGTACATAACAGCCCTAATTTGTTCATGTAGTTCAATGAATATCCAATAGATGACAGTTTTATCACTCTACCCACTCGAAACAAATGAAAATGTTTTACTGGAATGCCACCACTTTTCACATATCAAGTTAATAAAACCCCTTATCTTGTCTAAATTATTTTCATCTGTGAGTATACTCCACGTAGTGATATAACACGTTTCAACTGCATTTTCAACTTTGTGGAATAAAGACTAAAAAGTCAGTTTTTTACTTCCTATGAGAAGTGAAATATTGTGTAACCCATTTTTTTTGGAATCCATGCTGATTGAAGATAGCACACTTTGATTTGTTCCATGAGGAGAGATTTCAGTTAGGTGCCTTCTCCCGTTTGGCTTCTTTTGCTTTCTTTATAATTAATATAATAGCCGGACAGTGTGTTCTTTGAATAAAGTGGTGATATCTTAACAATTATTGTATACTCAGTATATAGTGGGCGTCATATATAGATGTTCAGTAAGTGCTAATTGAATGAATTAAGTCACTTAACATCCCTAGGTCAAAGTTTCTTCCTCCAAAATGAACGCTTTCAATTATTTAGTTGTTAAGTTTAAATTAAATATAATTATTGTGAAGCGAATGGCTCCTAATAATGGAGAAATGTGGAACGTTTTGGAAATCCTTCAGAAGTCTGACAGTGACTCTGTTGGAATGATTGGGAGTTTTTCTTCAGTTACAATTTATCGGTTGAACAGATAATTTTTGAATAGCCTCTGTGTGTGGCAATTATAAAGGCCTGTTTTGTGCATAACAGTTATAAAGGTACATAAGATATACATCTTGTTTAAAAGGATTTAAATTCTAGTTGAGTAGATATCTCATAAGGTCAATAATGATTAAAAGCAAGACATTTTTTAAGATAGTATAATAGGGCAAAATGAATAATACAGAAAATTCATGTGATTTGAAAGGATTTATGGAGCAGATGAAGTTGATTTTTGAAGTTAGGATAGAATTTGACTAGTTTGAAGGTGAATGAGGGTAAATGGCCCATGCAGGGTACTAGACAGATATGCTGAAGGGAAAATATGTGTGGGATTTTCAGATACTAGTGACTACAGCTATTTAGAGTCCCTTTGAAAAGGGGTGAAAGATAAAATGCTTAAAATTGACCCTGGAGCTAGATTCTAGATTTGAATAGTTTTAAATGCTTGGGAATCCTGTAAAGGGAATACTTTGGAGTCTTTTGATTAGAGAGAAGAAGTATATATCCTTGAGTGGAGGTGAGGTGTATAAAAGGAAATAAAAAATTTTTGGAGCTATTCTAGAGGGAGGAAGGTGAAGAGGCTCTTTAATTTAGTAGTAGTGAGAGGAGAATTTTAGAGCTGGAAGGACTGTGGATATTTATGCAGTACCTAATTTTTATCTGTGCTGAGCCATACCAATTCTGTTTTTGTCATGTTTATGAGTGCAAATACATATTCTCTTTTTCTTATATATTCCATAGCATTCGGCACACTCCTGTACTGAAAGTATAATGGCATTATTTGAAGCTAAGATCCTATCTCCCAAAATGTGATAGTCATATCACCCCTAACAAGCTTATTCTTCTGAGTAGTTATTGCCGTTGATAGAGGAGTATATGTCTTCTGTAAGCCTAGCTTTGATTGATGTAGCTGTTCAGGGATATATGCAAAAGTAGGCACATTTACCTCATTTTTTTCTCTTTAGCTTGGGTGAGTGCTGTATTCTTGTAGTAGTTGTCTCAGTTCAAGATTTTTCCAAGTTCTATTGCTTCCTACTTAGCTGGGTTGTTGGGAGCAATAGTGTGACTCAAAAAATTTAATGCCACTTATTAATTGAGAAAATGGCATGTTTAAATTTAAGCAGGCCTTGAAAACCTTTAAAAGTAGGTATGAGGAAAAAGTGAGTGAGTTCACAATTTGAATTTCACTCAAAAATTACCTGGTGTACATTACAGTTAATAGAAGAAATTCTTACCATCACATTAATATTGTCAGGCTGCCTTTCTTCAGTGGGATTAGTGTTGTAGTCGATACTTTCCTAGACTCTGAAATAGTTCTTTAAAGCTGTTTGAGTAAATACCTTAAGATATTTACTGTATTTTTCAAATAAAATGATTAATTCTACCAAATAAATCTGAGTTTCTAGTCTACTTCTAGTTTGCAAGAGGAGCTTTAAATGTATTTGTTTACCTAACATTTAAAAATCCATTTCTCCTTAAAATGAAACACTTTGTTTAAGGTAGGTAATATTTTAATTTGACTAGAAGTTAGTTTTTCTTGCTTAGTTTAAGCTACTTTGTTAGTCTCCCAATTTTAATAAGTATAGTTATTACCTAGTGACATTTCTGTTTTTTTTTTTTTAAGGTTAACAATCAAGATGGTACATGCTGAAGCCTTTTCTCGTCCTTTGAGTCGGAATGAAGTTGTTGGTTTAATTTTCCGTTTGACAATATTTGGTGCAGTGACATACTTTACTATCAAATGGATGGTAGATGCAATTGATCCAACCAGAAAGCAAAAAGTAGAAGCTCAGAAACAGGTATGATTGAAATGTCTGAAGATCATTTTTCTTGTGGCTAACAAATATTTTCCCCTCAAACTAAAAATTTGATAGAGTTAACAAATTAATGAGAAATTCTGTAAGACTCACATGAAAATGTATTGGTACTCGTAGTTAATTTTATTACTCTTACAAAGTACTAGTTTATTATGACATTATTTCAAGTCATTTTTACTATATAAACAACTTATCAGAAGAAGAGAAATGAAGAATAAAAATATAATATTGTGAACATGTTCATTAGAATATTTTTGTCAGCTTTCAAGGTAGGATCTAGGTAAAATTTTTTAGGTTAACCCAAAATATTTAGCTTCAGTAATGATATTCCTTTTGCTGTGTATGACTTCTGAAATGTGGATAGTACTGAAACATTCTCAGTCTTAAACTTATAAGCTACACTAAAATCTGATTAATGAATGGCTCTAAAAGTTGTTGATTGTTAATAATAAGCTGTAGTTTTGAACTTCTCACCTGCTGCCTCTTGTGGTCATTTCCTTTTAAAAGTGATATGTTTGGTTTCTGTTTGTCATCAAAACATAAAAACCTTAAAGGAGTCTTACACATTTTTTGTGCTGTTAGATGGCTTTTCCCTCTGGCTCCTTTTTTTTAAAACAATAATTAATAGCTAAAATATTTATATCTTATTGAATATCTTATGGTATAATAACATAATTTATCTTAAAATAATTGAATAAGATATCCATGGATTTTTAGATCTGTCATATGAGTTGTGACAGATTTCTTCAATAAACATTTATTGAGTTCCTAGCAACTGCTTGATAGCGAAGAAAAAAGATTAATAAATCTTGTTCTTTCAAAATGCTATAGGCTAGTGTGGGAAATAGGGATGTAAATAAATGACTGTTTTACAATGTTATGCATAGCCCTTACATCAGCAAAAAGTGAAAACCACAATTTTATAAACACTGCAATAAGTGTATATCTGAAAGGCACTTTGGACAATTCTGAACTTTTTCCTTGAATTGTATTATAAAATAGTTGACTGAAGTTCTAGATTATATTATCAGCCTATTTGTAAATCTCTGGGAAGTCTGACCAGGGTAGATTTAAAAAAAAAAAAAACAAAAAAAAACTAATTTGAGTGTATCCATTTGTCAGCCTAGGTGTAGGGTTTTCTTTCTCCCACCTGAATCATGAAACTCAGTTTAAGTCTGATGTCAAAATACTATAAGTTACATCATTTCAGCATTTTAAAAAGCAGAGGTGTGACTTTTAAAGATAATTTTGTCTTTTTTTCCCCTTGGCTTCTAAGAACTCCTGGAATACACATGTAGAAGACATACAGAAAGCTAAATATAGATGCTAAATACTACATGAATGAACCATCATTATTAAGCCTTCGTTTAAAATTATGTGTATAGTATTCTAAATATCAGGTATATGAAGTATTAGACACTGTGTCCTTCGTAGTACCCATGGTAGGGAGAAAAGATTTGTTCATGA